GAGTCTGGAGCGTGGCGCGGAGACGAGGACGACGAACTAATTAACGGACGGCGGGCGGAAGCGGGAACTTTCTCTATGATTTCTCTCGGCGCTGCCGTCGGCAACGGGAGCAGTAGTAGCCACTCTCATTACCCGCGCGCGCGCTCCGTCTCAAAACTAACGCTCGCCTTCGCCGCTCGTCAAGCCACGACTCCACAAAAGCCGAAAGCCGCCCGACTCCTCGCGCACATCTCCAGTCCTCGTATCTAAAACTCGAGGAAAAAGTGAAGCCTGCTTCGGCGTAGAGTCCCTTTATACTGAGAGTCAAGACAACACCCCTCATGGAGTCACAAACGGGAATAAAGATTACACAAATTGAACGTTTTTCGTAATCTTTGATCGGCCCATTCTCGAATTCCTTTCTTCGTTCCTTCCCTCATTCAGTTCGTTCCTTGCCGGACCCGAAATTCCTCGGTCCATTCCAGATTATAATCTTTGCAATTGGTGAAAATGTAATCTTTATTCCCGTTTGTGACACTGTGGAGGCCTAAAATACGGGAACCAATCAGAAATGGATTCAAATTGTCTTGACTCTCAGTATAAAGGGACTCTAAGTCCTCGTATCTAAAACTCGAGGAAAAAGTGAAGCCTGCTTCGGCGCTGGGCGCTTGCGTGAGTGCGTAAATGAGCGCGGGAACCCATGGGGCGGCAAACGGAAATTTCATTTGAACTCGTCCTCTTGATTTTCCCACATTCCTTCTTCTAACCGTGTTTTAGATGCCTAGAACGAACATAATAAGAGACTTGGAACGGTGACTTTTTATAATACACCTATTTTGGCTCGGTAACAAGCAAGGATCTCAGATAAAGTTAGTTTTTCTTCTGCTCATGGTGGTCCCGCCGCACAGTGCGGCACCCTTATGGACGATGCGGACAAAAATCGGCAAAAGACACTTGACTTTAAATAATGAAGGTAGTAGCGCCGACATAGGAAAACCCTTTGGCACTATCAAAGTAAAACACTCGAGGAATAAGAAAGTGTTATACCTCAGGTTTTTTTGCGTACTTTTCAAGAAAAGTTCATTCGAAGTTGGCAACCTCGAATTTAGCCCTGTGTTAACAATGTGAAAGCAACGTGAAGCACCCAAACTTTAACTTCAAATATCTCTGATGGTCGCAAAAAGCCGCAAGATCTTTTTCGTAGAATTGAAGTTGGATATCTGAGGATTAAGAAAATGTCAACCACCCAGAGCATTTTGCGTTTCGAGCGAGAAATCTCCATTTGAAGTTGACGCGTCTTTTTCCCGTGTATTTCTAATGGACCAGTGATTCCCGACCTATTTCCTGTCCACTTCCTACCCACAATTGAGGTAGTTTTGAGCGGAAAATTTGAAAATGAACCATCATAGGGAGTCAGAAATATCTTTAAGATGACAAATTCCGAAAAAAATTTTCAGATGTCGAGTTGTGAATTTTTGATTTTTGTCCACAGAGGGCCGCACTGTGCGCCGGTCCAAACAGGCCGTTACAGACCTAGATGAGCGTTACTCCCAAATGAAATTAATCGGTCGATGACGGACCAAAAATAACCTCAAGTTAAAAAAATATACGTGGGTAAGTAAATTTGGGCGAAAACCAACCTAGAATACTTTGTTTACGTCATTTTATTCAGTTCCCGCCTTACAATTGAATTTCAAACTTGTCCCGATTTCGCCGCCAATCCTCTGGCCAATAGTAGAGGTGGTTGGAAAGTAGCTTCATTTTTTGCTTTTGGCGCTCCGTCTTCATGTCTTTGACTCTAATCTCGAGTAACTTTATTACGTCGCTACTTCTGAGGTTAGGTCCTGCAGCTTGTAGGGCTCAAAAGGGCAGCCAACTTGTGAGATCAAATTATCAAAAATTATTTGTTACTGGACATTTTCCGACCCGTCCTTTAAGTGGTACGTATTTGACCTAGCTTTTGTATAAATTTACTAATTTTTGCGGGAGAACGCCCAAGTATGTGCCCATTTTTGGGCATCTTGGTTTGGTGTTGGAATCTGAACATTAACAGGGACTTTTTTTGTGTGAGAGGGTTGGCTGCATTTTTGGGTCCTGTTCCATATACTGCCATGCCCGTCTCCAGTGGCATGGCGTGCTTTGCGATAAATCGATTGATCTGCCATTTGAACCTATGGAAAAGGATCGATTAACAGGGTGTTTGCAGCGAACAATTTAATAATCGATTTTTCACCACGGATTCAAATGGGGAAATATCGCTAATCGATCATTCACGCCACGCCACTGGTGCTCTCCTCCTATGTGAGTAGGAGTACTAAACTAGAGTCCCTTTATACCCAGAGTTAAGACAACTCGATTATCAGCTGACTGGCAGCCGGCCTTGGCTGGCCATGGAGGCCGAAACGAGTGCACCCAAACGAACGATATTGAGGGATAAAGACCAGGAATCCTGCGATGTCTGTCACACAAAAACAACATCAACAAATTGATCAGTTAAAAAGAAAATGAGATTGGTTTGTGAATAATTTCTTAATCTATTTTCATTTTGGACCGATGGAAATAACAATTTACTCTTGATAAACCACAATTAGGTAATATTTTCATTATTCTTGTTCACATTCGAGGTACCGCCACCTTGGTGCACTCGTTTCGGCCTCCATGAGCGATAACCAATCAGAATTGGATTTTTTTTTAGGCCACTTTCAGCCGAACCAAAAGTGAGTTGTCTTAACTCTGGGTATAAAGGGACTCCACTCTAAACTGGATGGCGCGGCCAGTTTCGCGTCTAAGTTTGTCTGTGGAACCGTGGCTTTAGATCTCGACTCTATATCATCATCGTCGGCACGGTGCCTGGGGTCGCGGCTTCGCGGTGACGTCACCGTTCCGAGCCCGTCAATGAAAGCGACGTTTAGCGACGTCCATGCGTGGGTTCTTCAATGCAATACTATCTGCATACCGGTCTCGTAGCCTCCCGAGCAAAGGAGAAACGACGTTATATTATGCGCTTTTGGACGTTTGCACATTTTCTTCGACCAATCACCAATTCTCGAGAAATTACTTGAATTACTTAAAAAGAAAATTTACTTGATATTTTCCTTCCGGTTTTTCAGAGAATTTCGTTCGTAATGGACCACTAGACAAGGTACGAATTTCAGCATTCTGATTCATGTTTCGTAACTAAAATTTCACGCAGAACACGATGCGCACAACGAAAATTACCGAAATCAACTCCTTACGAAGATATTTAATGATTCTTGATGGGTGAATTCAAACCACCCGCTCATGAAAACTCAATGCTCTACGTGATTCGCATCGCGCGCTAAACGTTATCATGACAGTATCTGCGATTTAAAAATCTGGCAGCCTCAATTTTGACGCTTTGGCTCAGCTATAGCGAATTGCTCATAGTTTCAACAACACGTGGTGGGGAATGAACATTGCTCGATTGAGAAGCTTGCTGAAACCGTTGTAGTGTGCGATTTGACTCACGTAGAGCTTTTAGTTTCTTGTGAGCGGGCAGTTCAAATTCCTCGTAACCAATGTAAAATAAAAACGTTGATATCTTCGTTAAGAGTTATTTTCATTAATATTCGTTGCGCTAATCGTGTTCTACGTAAAATTCTGGTTAAGAAACATGTATCAGATTGCTTAAATTCGTACCTTGTCTAGTGTTCCATTTCACCTATACGATCTGAAAACTTCAAGGAAAGATATAGAATCATAATTTTTTTAAAAAATAAATATTTTCTAAGAGATAATTCGGCAACATTCGAATTCTCACACGGCGTTCTTTGCTAGTGCGGCGGTGGTGTACTGTCGTACTGAGGAAAAACGCCGTATGAGCCTTCAGGCGTTGCCAAATTTCCTGAGACAAATCACTAATTGTCAGGAAAACCTGCGAATACTTCTTTTCCAATTTCTCAGATAATCTTCTAGCGATTGGATCTTAAGTGTGAAAAAGTTTCAAGGGAAAATATTCATAATTTTCCTCAAAAATGAAGACTGTATCGGAGGAAATTTGGCAACTGTCGAATGTTCATACGGCATTTTTCCTTAGGACGGGAGTGTACTTCGGCATCGGTGTGGATTAAACTCCGTCCGAGGATGCCAGCGGGCTGAAATTGAAATTGATAGACGAAGCTGTAGACAAAGAAAACATAGGGGTTACGGAGCGATCCTATCGGTTGAAATGTGCGATTCTTGTGGACTAAGGGAGAAAATGATGGACTAACTGTCGGGTTTCTCGTGGGTTGCCGTTAGTTTGTCTATTATCCACTGCCTTTGTCCATTGCAACCACCAGCTTTCACCGATAGAATCCCTCCAAATCCCTTTTGTCATTTTTGTCTATAGCTTTGTCTCTCAATTTCAATAATCGGCCCACAGTTGAGTGAAATTAAAAAATTCCCAGCAGGCTGATTGATGAAATTGAAGACAAAGCGATGGGCTAGGAGCACGGAGCAAAAATGGAGCGATCCTATTTGTGGGGATGGGTCGTTGCAATAAACAAAAAAGCTCATAGACCAACGAACGGGAACCCACGCGCAGTGGCGACTTTTAATAATTAGGAACACTGCTTTTGCTCCATTTAAATGTACGTAAAAAAATCGATATTTTCAAGAATTCTGTCATTTATTTTTATAAAAGCTTCTTACATGGGTATTTGCGGCATCATGCCATAGAGGAGTAAGTACTTCAATTAAAAAAAAAAAAAAGAAGAGGAAAACGAAAAAAACCCGGAAAAAACGAAAAAATTTAAAAAAAAAAAAAAAAAAAAATGCTGTTACGAATAAGTAACACTATGGACTATGCCATTGAGAGTTGAGAACATTGTTTTGGAACTTCTGACCGTCTCATCTCCCTCAATTTTTGAGCTTCCAGGCTCAAACTACCGTAAAAATTCCTAGATTTTTTTACTCTATGCAGTGATACGGGTATCCAGAATTTGAATTTTCGGAAGATACGGCCGTCGTTGAAAAATCTGATCACATGTCCGTTGTTGAAACAAAAAACAAAACCTTACTTGTTAGCCTGAAGATCCGAGAAGAGGTATAAGATTTGATCCGAGTTCTTGAGTTTCTCAGCGCTGGTGATCGGGGCGTTGAGGCCTTGGGCTTTCTGGGAGGCTATCCCCATGTCGTGAAGGATTTCCGTGACAGCTTCCACGCATTTTCTGGAACAGAGAAAGAGGGAGCAAAATAGATTCAAAAAGTTGTTTCGAGCACGCGGATTATACGTTCATTTATACTTTCGCTATACCGCCGTGGGATGGACAAAAGAAACGCTCCATACGCCATAACGCCATGTCCCCGTTTAAAAACGTTCATATTTTCGGGGTTTTTATCCTCCTTAGCCTCCTTAAGTAGAGGTTCGGGGGGTCGCCAACTCTCAAAAACGTTTTCCCTTTCATGATGAGCACAGCAGTCCAAACCGGAGTAATTTAACCACGGCCGGATTTACCTTCTTGCCGCCCATGGGCCGCCTGTATTTTGCCGCCCCATCTCATTCGCTTTGAAACATTCATAGAAACCATCAGGTGAACGTGCCGGAGGAGGAGGGGTACATAAGACGCGTTTACTCGCGTTTGGCACATTTTTTGTGAAAGCCCTGTCAACACTAGCAAAAGTTCACGGAACTTTGCTCGAAAATTAAGTTCCGTAGACCTTTCTCTGTGTGGACGATGCCCCTCATTTATAAGAAAAGAAGGAAAAAATTATGAATAAGAATAAACATGAATGTGGTCTAATGATCTTAATTTCCGCCACCGCGCCAACCGCACTGTGTTTGGCGCAATGCGTGAAGTATCCCTACAGTCTTGTAGGCGCTTTGCGTTTCACGCTGACCGCTGCTGACCAAAAGACCGCACTGTTTTTGACGCAATGCGTGGGGTATTCATGCGTTCTTGTAGGCACTATGAGTTTCACGCCAACCGCTGCTGACCGCACTATACGTTTGACGCAATGCGTGAAGTATTCACAGAGTCTTGTAGGCGCTAATATTTGTTTCATGCTGACCGGTGCGCCGATAGGGATTCTCCTTTCCATCTCAAGTTTTCGCCATCATTGCTCTCTGCGCCGTGCCGCCCCAGGCCAAATTGCGTGTTTGGTTTCTCTCTCAACTAGACTAATGAAAGGCGCTGTCTCTTGTATCACCGAAAGACAAACAAATTAGAAACTACTATACTTTAACTCCCAGGATATGAGAGATTTTTTCGCCTTTCCTCATTGTGATTTTTTTTCTGAGTCAGATTTTTTCCTTGATACCTACATTTCAAAAAATTTTAACATTTGCCGCCCTCTAAATTTGCCGCCATGGGCCGCGGCCCATGTGGCCACCCCCTTAATCCGGCCCTGATTTTAATTCAATACATGTACAATTTATGGCGAAAAGAGCCGTTCTTTCGCCCATGCAGAATTTATCTTCCGGCGAGAGAGGGGGATGAGAGACAAAAATAGCACAGCTCATAGGGATTTTCTCCATTAATCGGGCAGAAGGATACCCCAAAATTTTGAAAACTAACTTTTTAGCGACAATTCAAAGTTTAAAAGGACAGAAATCGGGGGATTGGAGCAAGAATGCTTATAATGGTCATCGGCGCTGTTGCCAGCTTCAATGAATTATAATAATCTAATAGGTACATGGGTAACTTTCGTGAAAGCTTTGGCAAACGGGACGGAGACGGATGAAATACGACGATGAAATGAATCGAAATCCCGCACGGTTTTATCTCACGCGATCCGACAATTTACGCGCCCTTGAAAAAGCTCCCGATTCTTGAAAGTTGGTAACGCTGCTTTTCATCCACTTAAATGCAAGTAAAACAATCGACTCTAAAAGGGGCAGCTTGCTTCACCTAAAATCGATATTTTTGATGGATTCAAATGGAAGGAAAATAGTGTTGCCAACTTACAAAATCGCGACCGTAGATGCATAGGATTTGTGTGTTACATGAAGTTCATTTTTATCTCATTCATTTTCACATACTTGCTGGCTTCAGATGATTCGGTGGACGCCATATTTTGTGTCGAAACGACATTCGATAGATCGCAATGGACCACTAGACAAGGTACGAATTTAAGCAATCTGATACATGTTTCCTTGCCAGAATTTCACGTAAAACACGATTCGCGTAACGAAAATTACTGAAACCAACTCCTAACGGAGATATTAACCTTTTTTATTTCACATTGGTTACGAGGAATTTGAACTGCCCGCTCACAAGAAACTCAAAGCTCTACGTGAGTCAAATCGCGCACAACAACGGTTTTAGCAAGCTTCTCAATCGAGCAATGTTCATTTCCCACCATGTGTTTTTCAAACTATAAGTAATTTGCTACAGCTGAGCCGAAGCGTCAAAATTGAGGTTGCAATTTTTTTTTTTTTTTTTAAATCGCAGAGATGTTCATGATAACGTTTAGCGCGTGATGTGAATCACGTAGAGCATTGAAATTTCATGAGTGGGTGATTTGAATTCACGCACCAAGAATCATTAAATATCTTCGGAAGGAGTTGATTCCGGTAATTTTCGTTGTGTGCATCGTGTTTTACGTGAAATTTTGGTGAAGAAACATGTATCAGAATGCTGAAATTCGTACCTTGTCTAGTGGTACATTCTGTTGTCAGGATACTGCAGAATTCACTTACAAATTTTGACAAACAAATTCAACGTAATATAGGCGTGGTTTTTTGAGAGGGAAAATATAGCATTCAACTGCAGTTTCGGTATCAGTATCGAATGCGACATTTTTCCTCTAAAAAAACCACGCCTTTATTACGTTGAATTTGTTTGTCAAAATTGGAAAGGGAATTCTTTAGTCTCCTGACAACAGAATTGCGATCTCAAAATTCCAAAAAAATGACAAGTAGTTGAGAAAATGGAACTAATCGATGCGATATATCGCATGCCTCTCCGACACAAAATATAGCGTCCATCGAATCACCTTAAAGACGTCCACTTGAAGCGGAAATGGGTCGAGCGATGCGGGTTGCAGCACTATCAATTGATCGGGGGAGGGTTCACGGCCACGAAGGGGAGGTCGGGAGGGGAGCGTCTGTCGTCAGTCGGTCTGTGCCGCGTTTTCGGGGTCGCCTGCGGGTCGATTGTTGAATCGCCATCGAATGACCTTGATCGATGCATACCATTGTTAAGATAGGGAGTTATCGATCGATTTCATTCTATAACGATCCAACAATCGACCCGCTGGAGCGGGATCCGGACGGAATGCAGCACCCCCACCAGGCCCCGCCCCCGCTACCAACCTTCATCGTCTCTATTAATAACTTGCCTAGGCACATAGAGAAAAAAAAAAAGGTATCTGCATCTTGAGGCTTGTTTACCCTGTAACGTGGGTCGGTACAACCTGGCCAGAAAAATCCAGAATTCAAAGTATGAAAAACGGACCATAATTGTCCCATTTTTTGGTTTAAATCAACTCTTATAGAATGACTTCTTTCCACAAATTACACTATTTCCAAGGAAATCGATGATAATAGTCGCTGTGCCTACCTACGTCATCAAAAAAATTCCAAGATGCCCGAAATGCAAACACCTTTTTTTTCTCTATGGCCTGGGCATAAGCCGCCGTCGAATACGAAACAGAATATGAAAATGAGGACTAGAAGGGGAGAGAGGTGGAGAGAGGGGGAGGGAGAGAGGGGGGAGAGGGAGCAGAAGATGAATATTGGAGAGAAAGGGGCGGGATCGACCGGAAGTAGATGAAGAGGAGAGGACGAGAAGGAACAAGAGTGATGAGAGGGGAGGGAGAAGGAGAGAGAGAAGCGGCAGAGAGAGGGAGAAAAATATGGGGAAGAAGGAGATGGTCAAGAAGGAGAGGGAGAGGAGGAATAGGCGAGGGGAAAAGACATGAGTAGGGAGGAGGAGAAAGGGAAGGGGAGGGTAAAGAAAGAAAGAGAGAATAAAAGGAGGCGGAGAACGGAGAAAAAGAAGAGAGAAAAGGGAGCAGGAGAGGCAGAAGAGGAAGAGGTAGAAAATGAAGAGAAAGAAGAAGGCACGTGAGAAGGAATAGCAGGAGAAGCAGAGAGACAAGAAGGAGGGAAACCAATTTCTTTCAAATCAAATTTTTTTAGCAAAGAACTTTCCTACCACAAGAAAAAAAAAACAAGCAGTTCCAACGCCAAAGCGTTGGAGGGCGCTTCTTTAACACTGCGCATGCGAGGAACGTTTTCATACGGCCAAGCGAGAGTATTGCGGACGGACGATGTATAACAAATTGCCTACGTGAAGGTGGTCCGGCAGCAACATACCCGCCGCTAGTCTCTGGAAAACAATAGAAAATAGTAGTTGCGTACGTTGCCAGCGAGCGCGCTGCGAGCGCATCTGTTTTAATTACCTATGTTCACGCCGTGAACATGACTCGGCCAGCACCGGCCTCGCCGTCGGCCGACTCCGCGCCGCGGTCGCTCCTTCCCCGCGACCCGCGCTTCCCCCTCCTCGCCGCCGCGCTCATCTTCTCGCGGCCGCGCTCCCCCGCAACCCGCGCGCCCACCTCGCGGCGTCGCGACGCCGCTGTCCGCTAGATCGCGTTGACGCACCTAGCTTTAGACGTTCCGCCGCTCTCGCCCGTCGTCTGATTTTGACGGCATCCCAGCGGCACGGCCCATGCAAAGTGTGATCCACCATTCACTCCTCAACCAAGCTTGAGCACCTTGGTAAGTGAATTTTCACCACTTCTCTTTCAGGTTTTCAAGAAGAAGCATCCCGTCCAGCGCCCAACGCTGTCGACTTCTCAGTCCAGCTTCCTACGCTGTCGACTTTTCAGTCCGGCTTCTAACGCCGTCGACTTCACAGTCCAGCTTCCTACGCTGTCGACTTTGCAGTCCGGCTTCCAACGCCGTCGACTTCCCAGTCCAGCTTCCTACGCTGTCGACTTCTCAGTCCGGCTCCTAAAGCCGTCGACTTCCCAGTCCAGCTTCTTACGCTGTCGACTTCTCAGTCCGGCTCCCAACGCTGTTGACTTCTCAGTCCAGCTCCCAACGCCGTTGACTCCACAGTGGCTCCCGTGCCTGGCCGCTTACAGCACTGCACGGAGCAACCCGCAATCGCCTCATCGCGATATCCGTCCGAGCGATTCGCTTAGGCAAGCCCTGGGGGTATCCCTTGGGGGTCTTCACCGCGCTTCAAGCGCACAAACTGAAGACGCCGCGCCCACTGTC